CGGTGCTTCTCCGGCAAGGAATGTGGCGATTTCTGGACGAGCATCAGCTTGTCTGATTGGAGCAGTGAGGTCCTTATAGCTGACGATGTCGCGTTAGGACCCACTGTTACACAACTCACCAAACACCAAGTGTCTAATGACGATCGAAAGGATTGGAAGACTCCCTTCACTAGTCGGCTCGTACTATAAAGAAGCGACTTTTAATAACAATGCAAGGCATCATTCATCATAGTCCGGAGCTGTTACAATTACTAGGTTGATCAAGAAGTTTTGATAGGGTTGAGATTTTTCTGTTTTATTTTACAACTCAGCAAACAATGCAAGCTAATCAACAATATAATAACCATCGTTAGTCATAACATTGTCCCACCTAACGGGCAGGTCAGCGATTCCCTTCTCCCAGAACTGGGGAGATTGGGAGTCAAGAAGTCACCGACCACTTGTTCAAGGTGGTCATAGTTGACGAATCGTTTTTTTTTTCTAGAAAAACCTTGTGGGGCCAAAACAAGTGAAGGAGCGGAGAAGGAGAGACTGACAAATGGATACCCGGGTGTACCGCATGCTATCGGTCAAGACATGAGGTATCCATCGAGTCAGCACTTTTCTGTAACCGAGGGCCTGAAGGCGACCGACGACTGTTGATTGGGCACACCCAAGTCTCGTCGCAAGACTGCGGGTGTTAACTTCCGGATCCTCTTTGACGGCGTCGAGAATGACGGAGTCGTCGACGGCGAGGGGCGTCCCGACCGAGGCTTGCCTTCGAAGTCCGTGTCTCTTCCTTGAAGCGAGCGAACCAGCGATGGACCGTAGCGATGGAAGTGGTGTCCTCCTCCATACGCTGTTGATGTTGCGAACGGTTGCCGTCGCTCCGGTGCCGCGGCGCCACTCGTAGAAGATGATGTATCGAACATGGTCTCGTGGAATTGACATCGTGATTTAAGCTAAAGGAGGAAGCGCGCCTATATATACCCATTACGGAGAAGGTTCTAGAATGTTCTACCACTACCACATGGTAGATCATTGGTATCGATCAAGAATCGAAAGTTCTGGAACTTTCAAAAAGCCCTATCAAAACTTTTTATCAACCTAATATTTCATTTGGTAAATGAGTGTTCTGAACTCAAAGCCATTACAATGGTATCCTTACGTCTTCTTTATCTTTTACTGACTCCTAACCTACATGGAATCCGAAATAAGTTATGGCAAAGGAAAAGAGCGAGGTGAACAAGAATTCATTTCGTCCGATATGACTCGCCATTTGTGCAGGCATTTCAGGTATAGAACACTGAAGTTGCACTTTCCTGAGCGTCTACTGTTTGTAAAGAAGTATCAAACCAGTTTTGTCACTGTGTTGGGAGGTGTTTGAGAGGGAACCATGGGGTCCACGTGCATGCACAGGCAATAATATTACGACCACCACTGGTCCTTCAAGGCCCCACTTTCAAAACTTGTATCAGATTTTTGTCGAGTTTTACCATTCTAGGCAATGTTTTAGCGATGTGCACCTTAGGAAGCAAGTAGCCCGCATCGTGAAGTAATTGAGCAGTGTATGTGTTGAAGTGCAAGTAAGCCAAAAAACACTTCTGCAGTTTCTTTACACCTGAAGATCACGAATCGACAAAGGTAGTTAAGAAAGGAAAACATGGACTACGTTCGCTCGTGAGAACTGCCAGGTCTAGAAGGCAGGTAATGCATAAGATGATAAGCGTCACTTGCACGCTTGTCTTT